AGTTTAACAACTTCAGGCTGGGTTTTTATGGCTGCTGCACTTATGAGAAGACAACCTTGGCTTAGTTTAATGGACCTACATTATCCTACAAGCATCCAATGGAAATAAAATTTTGTTAAAAGCAAGGTTTACAAAGAGTGGGACCTCCATTCTGTCAGAAATGGAAACTCAAGGCAGGACTCAGTTGGAGAGATCTTTTGCAAAAACTTTAATTAAACAAAGGCGTACTCGCATGGAGTGGAATACAAGGCAAAGTACAAAATAAGAACACTCAAGAAAATGAAGCAGACAAAGCTATGATCAAAGTATCAAATAACAATCTCTCTTACGAGGCAGAACAAAACTGTGGACACAGTACAAAATAATAGCACTTGATAACAAGGATGCAAAAAGGCTAAAAAAGCACCTAAATAATACTCACTCAGGAGGAAAAAATATGGACACAAAATAATAATCGCTGAAGATGACGAAAAGGCAAGGAAGGTTCAGGGCAAGGCTTTGGGTTAAAAGACAAAACACACTGGTACAAGACTCAGAATCAGACAAATGACACACAGTGGAGTGCAAGTGGCCTGAAACAAGGGGATGTACCTTTCAAAATAAAACAGGAAATGACAAAACAACCATGGAGACAGGACAAAACACCAAAAAATCCCCCAGGTGTGACACATTCCTTTTTTTCCCTTGTCCTGTCCAGCATGAGTGGTTCTGTCACTCCCCAACCCTTGATGACTTATTTATAACTGATGTGTCACATACAATCTTATGCCAAACATGAGTGGGGGTAAAGAGGGGGTGAAAGAGGGTGGACACAGTAAGAAAGAGACCACAAATACAAAGAAATGTATTGAACAAACAAACCCGACATCCTGTTGGTACTAAAATCCTCCTAAGGCCTTGATAGGGAAAACGGGGACAAGCAATCATGAACACCTGCAAAGAGATACAAGTAACTAAAAAAACAAAACACAGATGGTACCAACAACAGCATCAAGAACTTGGAACAAATGGGTTTGTTCTAATGCACAAAACTACAGATCAGCGCAGATAACAAATCAACAGTTTTTATCCAGCAGCAACTGGCCTCATCAACGAGGCCAGTGACCCGCACCTATTCTTTTCTCGCCCCCCTCTACCCCACTAATTTACCCAATGCTACGTTCAAAATTTTCTGGTCTGTCGTTGGACATTCAATATTTTATTTTATTATTATTATTATTATTATTATTATTATTATTATTATTATTATT